GTGCCCGCCCCGCCCCGCCCCCGCCCCCTCCCTAAAGTGCCTGAGCGCCGACTCTGTGCCCAGGTCCCACTTCTGCGGCCGCCAGCCCGTGCGGCGACCACACATTCCCTCCCTGGGCCCTGTCTTCCTCTTGCAGCCCCCGAGCCTGGGGCCTAATGGCCCTGGGGAGGGGCAGCTCCGGTAGGTGAGGGGGGCGGGGCTCTGGGTCTCGTCCAAGTTCAGCCTCCTTAGATGGGGAGGAATGGGACACAGAGCCGGCTTAGAGAAGAGCTGCCATTTGGAAACCGTGCTCGGATTGTGCCCATATGCCCTCCAGACCCTCCCAGGATTCAGGACTAGGTTTGGCCGCCCGTGACTTGTGGGGCTGTCCTGCTGGGAAACTGCACTGAAGAGATGTCCCCACCTGTGCTTCCGGCCTGGGGTGCCTTGCCTTCCAAAGCTAGGGGAGTGGTTAGAAACTCCGACGGGTGAAGCCCAGACCACAGGTGAGAAACAGGCCCGAGGCCACATGGCACTTGGAGGTTGAGCTTGGGTTTTCTTACTGCTGCCCCGAGATTCCAGCCATGGTTTGACAGGGATTGAGAAAGGGAGGGGGAGGGCCTCCCTGGCCTTCTCTGCAGGGAAGCAGGAGAGCAGCCGAGGGAGAGAGAAGGTGACGCAGATGGATGAGCGGGAAGGAGCTGGCCTGGCTTGGCCCTGGGCTCTCCCTGCAACAGGGCGCCCCAGGGCTGGCCAGCCAAAGGAGAAGGGGGCCCCGGAGAGACTGCTGTGGCAGATGGAGAGATGAGCAGCAAACCTGCGGTCCTACTGCCTGACCCCACCTCGACCCCTGTGATTCCCACTGTGGGGCCTGGCTGACCACTGCCCTTGACTGCCGTTCTCCTGGGAAGCTCAGCCCGGCCCCTCCCCAGCACTGTGTACACTGTCCCTCCCCCACTGTTTATTTATTGCACGAATCTAAGTTATTCTCCCCAGCCAGAGCCCGAGTTCCCTGGGAAAAGTGGCTTGTGGCCCTGAGCTGGGCTTTATATTTTATATCTGCAAATAAATCACATTTTATCTTATATTTAGGGAAAGCCGGATGGCAACAAAAAAAGTTTTTAAAAATTGCCCGGCCCCTAGAATTTATTTATTTCCTGACTTACAGTGAGCGAGTTATCCGCCTTCTGTATTTTGTAGACTTTCTGAATAAAGTCAGATTCTCTTTTTCCACAGAAAAGTGTGTGTCCTGGGCTATGTTGTATATGTGGGGGGTGGGGTCTGAAAGAGGGGCTAAGATGGGGTTCTGCATTCCATTCCATTGGGGACTTCTGGTGGGAGGGTTAGTCCCCATTGCTAGCTGTTGCACAGGGCATGGGGTGGGGTGGACAGTGCTGAGACTTCGGTCCCTGGTTGCCTGGAAACCAGGCACCTCCCTGGAGAAGGCAAAGCCACGAGCACAACGAAGTTTAGGTTAAATTCCCTGGGCATCCCTTCAGCGTATAAACAGTCCTACCCCGAGAGGAAAAACCCCAGATTATGGAATAATCTTTCCAGTATTTTCACATCAAATAGAAAATATGTTCCCCGAGTTCTGGAAGGCATGGAGGTAGGAAAAGAAGCAGCTTCCTTAATCCCAGCCAGCAAGCCAAACACATAGTCTTGTGTCTCGTCCTAGTCACTAATTTTAACCCAGTCTGCCAGCCCTCCCAGGGCACCCTGAGGAGTGGTGTGTACTGTGGTCTGTGGGTCGGGGCAATCGGGGTTTGGATCTCGAGGTGTCTTTTCCTAGTTGTGGGAGCTTTGGAACTTGGTTTCTTACAGCCTGTTTACCCTCTGTAAAACGCAGGTGTCATAAGGGCACACGCGTGAAAAGCCCTGGGGCCTGCAAACTTTGACAGGCAGAACCACTGAGGTGAGGACAACTGTGTGGCTGGGTGTGGAGGTGGCGGGGTGGGGGACCTGTCAGTGGAAGGTGCAGGACTGGACTCTGGGAAAGGGCCAAGCCACGTGGATTGGCTGTGTCCACAGGGCCTTTTCCCCTTCCCAGGTGGAAGCTGGGTGTTTTCCCTGTTGGGCCCACCATCATGAAATGCTGAGCTCAGGCCTGTGGGAAGGGCAGCAGGAAGCTGTGGAAGGGACAAGGGCTATTTACCTCAAGGTTAGAGGCTGACTGGGAATTTCCCCCACCCACGCTTCACATTCCTGAGTGCTCCTGTCAGCAGCAGGCCAGGCCCACAGAAGGCATGCGATGGAGAGACGGTGCCCCACAGGCCAGGCACCTTGCTTTGTGGGCAGGCACGGTGCCAACAGCCAGCAGACCCTGAGTTCAGGGAGGCAGGAAGCTAGTCTGGAAGGAGGACCCTGGGAAATTCTGGGTGTCATCTGCAGGAGAGGGCTGCCAGAGCATGGCCCCATCAGCCTGCTGGCACAATGGGAAAGGGGCATTAGCCCCCTGGGCACCGGCCCTGCGGGGGGAGGAGGGACGGTGCCCCTTGTGACCCGTGGGCTGGGAGATGGCTGTGTTCAGCCAGGCCTGGACGAATCTTAAGTCTCTGGCAGTGTGAACCACCCCCATCACCTGCAGGTTACACAGGACAGAAGAGAGTTTCTTGAGACCCCTGCCCACAGTCACTACCCCAAACACAAACACAGGGCAGGAAGGAGGAAGGAAAGAACCTCACCCACAAGCAGAGGAGATTTCAATACAATCTATATTATCTCATATATATATTTCTTCCTCACTTTATTTGCTCACTTCTGTCACGCATTTAAAATGTCACAGAGACCAAAATAGAGCGGCTTTCTGGTGGAATTCCTGGCAGTCATACAACGATACAAAACTAGGGGACTCTGTCTTCTCATACATCATACAATTAATTTTCAAGTATTTTTTATGTACAAAGAGCTACTCTACCTGGAAAAAAATTTTAAAAAAGACAAGGTAGGTTATGCATCCTAGGAAGGAAGGGGTTTGGAGCGGTCGGGCACATGTTCCTGTCCCCATGGACTGCTGGTTCTCTGCCACTGGGCTCACCCGCCCCCACCCCCACCCACCATGCAAGTGGCAACACCAGGGCAGGCAGAGACGGGGGCAGGAATCAGCAGCACACTTTGGCCTGGAAGGAGGAAGGAGTCACGAGTCAAGAACCAGATCCGAGTCAAGAAAGCGAATGGCAGGTGGGCCACGCTGCTCCTGACAGCCTGCGTCTGCCGGCAGCCCTCCTGGGCAGCTTGGGGCTTACTGGCCAGGCCCCCCAGACAGGCTCCAGTTGAGGGAAGGAGGCCAGGAGGGCTGCTGGGCCCTGCCCCTCCTCACAGACCCCAGTGTGGAGGCTGTTGATTACAGGAGGAACCAAAAGAAAAATTCCACGGTGAACGCCACAAGGCAGGGACCCCTGTCCCTCACCCTCCCAGTTTTCAGAGGCCACTGCAACCCAAGCCCAAGTCCTATCTGGGCTTCTGAATGCCAGGACACCTTGCCTATGGGAACATGCACTGCATCATCAGGCTTTTCCTAAGTCAGTGGCCAGTGTAAGCCCGGCCTGTCTGGGGAGGGGGGAGGAGATGTGGTCCTGGCCACTCCTGAGGCCTGTCTAAAGGCTCTTGGCCCAGCACTGCAGGGTCCTCCGAACGCCAGCAGCTGGACAAGGATGCCGCCAGGGAGTATCTGGGATAAACTGGGGCTAGAGAGGGGAGCTTTCACATGTGACTAAGGCACAGAAGAGATGGGCCAGGGGGCCAGACAAGGCAGAATACCAAGCCCTGTGTGGATAGGGGGTCTAGGAGGAGTCTGGGACCACCCTCCCACCTCCTGGCTCCCTGCTGCATGGCCATCCCTCCCACCCTCCCCCTGAACTGTCTTCCTCCAGAAGTTGGTCTGAACGCGGAGACTCAGACCTTACCCCTGAAATGGGAGGGAGAAGTCCCTGGGAGAGACCAGGATTCAGCAGGGTCTCTGACAGCTCAGCCTGGGAGTGGGGCTGGAAGCTCCTGACCCCTGGAACAGCCAGGTAGCAAGGACTCTGCCCCAAACTCTATCAGGAACCCACATAAGAGGGCACTGTGGCCTGCTGCTGTCCTCGGGAGGAAGGGGTGTGAGGCAGGCAGAGGTGTGGCCACGCCAAGGACACCCAGAGCCCAGGGCCTCTGCTTCCATAGAAGGCTCAGAGGTACCTGAGTACCCTTTGCAGGTGGGACCCATGACTCCTGGTGTCTGGCTCTGATCCTTGCAGCATGCCAGGCATGCCTGGGTCAGGAGAGAGGGGCTACAGAGCACCCACAGTCCCTCCTGCCCGGGGTGAGGCGAATCTAGCACTGGACAAATATGGACAGGGGTGGGGAGCAGGTTGGAGGAGCCCAGGCCAGAGTATTGCACGGTGTATGGGGTGGGCTGGGCCTAGCGACCTTGGCCTAAGAGTCTCGCAGAGTAGGGGGCCCAGAAGGCTGCAGCCACCAGTCCACACACAAGCATCGGGCCTGGACGTGGCTGGTCCCAGTATAGCTCACTGCAGGACAAGCAGCAGGGGTGAGGGTGCTGCTCCCAGTGTCTGCTGCCCCTTGCCTGGGCGACGCAGGGTTGGCTGTGTAGAAATATTCCTGTGAGCCTGGACTATGCCTGGGGCAGACAGCATCTGGCCACTCCTCTGGAAGCGATATGTGAGTGTTTCTGGTCCAATAAATAAGGGCAACATCAGAGCTGTGCCAGCGCCTCCTTGCCTGGCTGTGAGGTGTGAAGTGGGCACAGCCTGCCCATAGCCAAGGCGCTGGCACCTCCCCCAATGGCAGCCCACACCTAGAACTCGTCGTCAGAGCTGAGCAGAAGAGTCTTCTCGTTGTCGCGGGCGCCACTGAGGCTGTGGGAGCGGGAGAGGCTGTGGGCGCCACCGCGCCAGGTGGGCCCGGGCTCGAGGGTGGACTGCTGCGTGTACTGCTGGTAGGCAGGTGAGAAGTTGTGGATGGCATCCTGCACAATGTCATGTGGGTTCATGGTCTCCTTGAGACTGCTGGAGATGCTCTTCATGGGAGCGCAGCGGCCTGCCGGGCAGGAGGCAGGGGCAGGGGTAAGGAGGCTGGGGCAGTGAGAGGGAGGCAGCCCAGCCCCTTGCCCCTAATCCTGGGACAGACCCCCACCCTGGGGCTGTCTCTTTCAACCATGCCCCTAAGACAGAGAATGGGGCCAGGACATGAGAAGGGGCAGGCAAAAGAAATACTCCTTTGGCTGGGAGTGGAAGTGGGAGTGAGGGGCGGCCAGGGAGCCTGGAGCCATGGCTCGGGGGTCAAAGCGAGCAAAAGCAAACCACCACTGGGAGCTAGGCCGGGCACGTGGGAGGAGACCCAAATGGGAGACTGGCAAGCTGTAGGCATGAGCCTGGGATGCCCCCAGGAGGCCAGCACAGGTTCAGCGTGGGGAAGAGGGCCTGGGCAGCCAGGGGTGCCCGGGCTCTGCAGGTGCCACACCTAAGAGAGTGCTCCCCTCTACTCTGGGGAGTGGGCCTGGCTGACCTTGCCCACAGAAGAGCAGATGCGACTTATGAGCTCCCATAGAGGGGGGGAGCTGCCTGCCCTAGTAGGCTTCCTCCTAATTCTATGAATCATCTCTGTGGGCTCTGGGGGAGAAATGACCCAGGTCCCAAAGCCCAGATATAAGGGATAAGCCCAACTCTGGAGCTCAAGACCTCTGACTCAACCTTGTGAGCTCTTCCCATCCTCTGCCGTCTCTGCCATGGAAACATCGCTAAATGCCCCATATCCCATGAATGAGCACTGTGCTCCCAGACCCGAGCAGAGCATTCTCCAGAATGAGAAATCAGGATGGAAGCAGGCAAGCTCTACAGAGGGAGGCCCTTGGCAGGCAGGTGTCTGGGTGCTCCCACCTAGGGGTGCCTATGGGAGGAAGACACACAGAAGGAGCTACAGAGAGAGGCATGCCTGTGACAGGACCAGAACTGACGTGCAGGACAAACGTGCAGACCAAGAGTGGGACCTACCGTAAGGGCCGTATGTTGGCACTGCCCATGGCCAAACCCCAGGCAAAAGCAAGGCAAGGGGGGAGGGGAGAGAAGCCAGAGAAATAGAGAAGACAAGAGACAGCTGAGTGAACGACACGTTCCCACCACCAAGGCCCAACAGCAGGACACACCACAGACCATTCCCTTCCTCCTCCCCCGGGCCTACTGGGCACCCAAGGCAGCTCCAGGTGCCTCTTGGGAAGGTGAAATCCACCTAGGGAGGACTCCTCCCACGGTGCTCTCACCAACAGAGAACATCCCAACTGGTGGTCGGAGTTCCGTCTCTGCATCTAGATCAGAACACACCATCCCCACTTCTTTCCGGGCTCAGCTGGAGCTATGTCTATACTGCATGTTTGTAAAAGCCTCACAACACTTTGCAGACAAGAAAATCGAGGCTGCAGGAGGAGTCACTAGTGCAGATCCCACAGCTAAGCCAGCTTTGCCCTCAAGCCTAACCTGGAGTGGGCTGAACCCCTGAAGTAGAAGGCGGCAAAGGGCTTGGGACCAGCGGGGCAGCAGGCGAGGGTGGGCAGCAGCTTTTCCAGGCCAGCTATGGGTAGGTCTGGGGGCGGGTGTGGAAACACAGCCCAGGTTGGACAGGAGAGTCTCTCTGCAGAGACCCCACAGCACAAAAATGGTTCTCTGCCATAGCCCGACCTGCTCCTCAGGATGGCCCCATGCTCCAGGCCCAAGGGTGACGTTCCCATGGGCACAGGGTCTTCCAGACCCAGTCCAAGGGACAATTCTCCCAATAGTGGGTGTTTGCTAGATCCTTCCAGTTGGGGGCACTGGCTGGCTAATCACTGGCCAGCAGTGTCAGGCACAGAGTAGGTGTGCAATCCAAGACTAGGCAGACTAAGCAGTCACCCAGAGTCCCCAACAACCATGTCAGGAGAATAGAGGCCAGCACTAGCATCTTGGGCCTCTTCTCAACCAGGGAAGGCAAAGGGGAGACGGGGAGGAAATGAGGCTGGAGAGCCCTGCTGCAGGCCAGGGAGTTCCACACTCTACACCACTCACATGGGGCCTGTGGGGGTCCTGGCGGTAGGGCAGGGGGAGTGAGTTTCTCCTCCAGTCCCTTGAAAAGACAGCTGGCAGTAGCTGGACTAGGTAAATCAGTTTCAGGAACTCCCAGCCTCCTCTTCCTTATGCTTTTAGAACAACCTCTCTCTGTCTGGCAGCCAGAGACAGGCCTCCTGGTCCACTGCTTCTTCAGGCAGCAACATGTTCCAATCACCCTGGGAGCTCTTAAAGCACAGAGTTCTTACAGCACACCCTGCCTGCCAAGCCCAGACCAATTACCGCAGAGTCTCTGGGGTGGGGTGGGGGGCTGGACATCAGTACTTTAAAAAGCTCTCCAAGGCATTTTTGTGTACAACTGGGGCTACTTACCACTGTTCTAGCAAGGAGGCAGATTAGCAAGTGTAAAAAGAAAGCTGTTAAAACCTGTTACCATCTGAGTCTGTTTTTAGAAGAAATCAGGACTTTTTTAAAAAGGACTTTAGAGAAGAGGGAATTATTGGTTAAAATGAATAACCATGCACAGTGTTGGGTGTCAGAAATTCTTAGGAATCTGTTGATTCCTTACAGTCTGTCTACATGATCTCTGGATCTTCACACTTTGACCTGTCGCAAGGTGGACCTGCTGACAGGTAGCCTTAGCTTCCAGGATCAAATCGGTAGTGCTGGTGGCAGGAGTGGGAGTCCCACTCCTGCATGCATTGACCTCTGTGGCCTCTTTCCCACTTGTAAACCGGGGATCTCATGACCTGACCCAGCAAACCTATAGGTCCTAGGGAACCCTGGGATGCTTTGGAGCTCTCTGCTCCTCCTGCTGGGGGCTGTCTCCCAAAGCCCTGGCTCATACCTTGAGCATCCAGTCTCTTGTCAGCATAAACCTTGTAGGTGAAAGCATGCCGCAGGGCTAGAGCTGCAAAGAACATCTCCACACAGATGATGAAGTCCTGGTAGCCAGCAGCCACAGTGCCCTCACCCACTGACACACGGGCTGAGTGGATCTTGGGGATTGCCCCACACTTCTCCAGGATGGCCAGGAGCATACCTGGACAGGGAGGCAAGGGCATCTGGCTCTAGACTGGACCCCTTCCCAGTCCCTCCTTCTCCACACAGCCCCATCCAGATGTTCACACCTCCCCAGTGAAGATGGAAGTGGAGCTACAGCTGCTCCTGTAGGGCAGGGGTGGTGACACAAGGCCACCATCTCCAGAAATCCTCCCCTCCCAACTCCTTGCCAGCCACTGAAACAGAGGCATCACCAATTAATTATGCAGGATGCCCCATCCATGAAACTCCCCAGTAGCTCTTGTGAAAGGCCCCCAAGGGCCCAGACTTTACCTCCAGCCAGTGCCCAGTGGACTGAAGCCCCTTTGAGCTCCAGGCCAGGCTCATTCAGGAAAGCTCCCTGGTCTGGGCCCCACAGGCACCAGGGACAGCATGAGGCTCAGAGGACAGAATGGCACAGGCTGGCTTTGCAGCAGCTGGGAAGTGGAAGATGGGAGACGGCTCACCTTGCCAAAAGGAGAGAAAGATGACGGACTTGACCATGAAGAACTTGAGGACAGGGCTGTAGGGGCTGAGCAGCTCCCGTGTAGCAAAATAGAAGAGGAAGAGGGCATAGAGGGCCAGGCTGACGGAGATGTTGTAGATGATGGTCACGTAGAGGTAGCCACTGGTGACACTGCAAGATGGGGACCATTCTCTGGCTGGAACAGAGCCCTGAAGGGACAGGGCTCTACCCTCCCCTCCTGAAAGTGCCCCCAGTTCTCAGGTCTGCTCCTTGAGCAGAGCTCAATGAGCCACTAAAGGGAGGGGATGGGCAAGTGGCAGATGCAGTATGCATTGCAAGGGACATGCACAGGCCAGGCCAGCCCTGCTGCCACTGCTTGGCTCATGGACGTGTCTGAGCGCTGGGACCCATGCCCCTGATGCTGTACACCAGCGTGAAAGCCAGTGCTAGGCTGGAGGCCACAGCCCGCCAGTCAGACAACAGCATCAGAGTGGGTGACATGAGCTTGGCTCTGCTCCCTTTTCACTTAGTGGGTTACGTCCCCCTCTGACCTTGGTTTGCTCACCTGCCCTGGCAGAGCTATGGTGCAGGCCAGTGTGTGCAAAGTGCTGTACACACGGGGCTGGGCACACGGTCACGTTCACTAATTCCCAAATGAAATGTGTATGGGCAATTTACACAATAGGGGCTCGACACCTGGGGCTCAAGGCCAGCCTCTTGGAACTCTAGCAGTGGTCACTGCCTTTCACGGCCCATTCCCTCATGGCCTCACTCTGCAGCCTGGATGTGAACGTGACTGCTGCGGAGGGCTCACTTCTGAGCCAGCGGCTGGGCCAAGTGCAAGGGGGCCACTGCCAGGCTTGAGGCACAGGGGGAATGAGTACCAGGCACTCAGGAAGGCCAAGGCTGGGGAGCCAGCCTGGCTGCCCCCTTCCTTGAGCCCGGGCCCAGCCTGCACCAACGCTCCTCCCCACGTGCCAGGGGAAGACCCTCTACTTACTCAAAGTCCCCATCCTGGTACTTGCCAAAGGCCTGGAGGACCACAGTGCTGACCGCCATGAGGGGCTTCACCACACAGAACTGCAGCGTGGCCTGTCAGGGAGAGAGAAGATCAAGAGTCGAGGAGGAGCATGGAAAATGCATAAAAAGCCCCTCATCTGGCAACGGGGCCTGTGCTGCAAGCCAGGGACAGAGGAGACGGCCTGTGTCCTGCTCCCACGGGGACTGATGTCTAGAGGACGAGGAGAATGTGTAGGAGACCATGACAGTACAATGCTACTGTGTGAGAAGACATAAGATGCTGAGGAAGGAAGAAGCAACACTGCAGGGCATGATGGGTCAGGACAGGAGATTCGTCAGAGAATGGTCTCAGAGGAGGCAGCAGTGAGAATGCACTGGAGAGAGAAGAGACACGCCAGGCAGAGGATGAGCTCACACAAAGGCCCAGAGGCAGAGGGTGGACAGGTACAAGGGGTGAGTGCTGGCGAGGGGCAGCCACAGAGAGGTAGCCAGGAGAGGGGCAGTGGTAGGGCCAGGTCCTAAAGCCCTTGATGCTCAGGGCAAGGCCAGGCCTCTGCTGGAGCCACTGGCCACCCGGGAGTTGAGAGTGGGTGAGGGCCTCCTTACTTTTTCCCCATCTACCCCTGGTCTGGTTCCCTGTCCCATACTCTGGGCCTGGGTCCGGGGCTTACGGTGAGCCAGGGTCTCCCTGAGGATGGAAGTGACCTACAGGAGCACCTGGTGGGGAGCAACCCAATACATGGACTGTGGAGGCCTGGAACCTTTTCTGTAGAGACAGGGTCTCACTCTGTTGCCCAGGCTGGAGAGCAATGGCACAATTATAGCTCACTGCAGCCTTGAACTCCTGGGCTCAGATGACCCTCCCTCTTCAGCCACCTGCGTAGTTAGAACTACAAGCATGTGCCACCACGCCCAGCCAAATTTTTTCCTTTAATTTTTTGTAGAGATGGGATCTTGCTATGTTGCTCAGGTTCCTGGCCTCTAGTGCTCCTCCTTGGTCCCCCGAAGTGCTGGGATTACAAGGCGTGAGCCACCACATCCAGCCCAGAGTCTCCATATCTGAGTTTGAATTTCGGCAGTAGCTTGGGCAGTCACTGGCCTCTGAGTACAAACTCACTGGTGAAATGGATGTAGCCAGCCCTCACATCCCAGGGCCACTGCTGTGGGGACAGCAGAGCCAGACAGCACAGGGTCTTCTTGGAGGTGTCCCACCTCTGCACATTCAGTCGAGGCTCCTACTAGCTTAAAGAATTCCTCAGCCAGGTTTTTCCAATTCCCTACAGAGGCCCCAGTAAACTCAAAGGGGATCCACAGTGCCCACAAAAATCACTAGAATCACCATCCTCCTGGAAACAAATACATCAAAGCCATAAGGTCCCTTCTGAGGAGCCAGGGAGTGGTTTAAACCCAATCCGCAGGGCTAAGCAGGGAGCCTGTGCCATGGGGCTGCCACACGGAAAGGTACATGTGACAGAGTAGCCATGTAGTCCCCCCTCAGAAAGCCCCACATAACTTCCCTGGCCCAGTCATTTTGCCTAGAGGAAGTGGGACCAGCGCCCTGCGGGGAAAGGGGAAGAGCAACAGTTTGTCTGAGTTCACATTTCGAGTCTGGCAACAGGCTAGTGCTTCCCTGGGTCAGCTCACGACAAACCCTGGCGTGGTGCTATCTAATGAGGAAACTGAGGTACAGAGAAGCTGAAGCAGCAGACACGTAGCCCAAGCCAGCAGGCCCCAGAGCCACCAGCCAACCACGCCCTTGACTCATCAGGGGTCCCCAGGCCAGGCTGGACTTGAGACACCTAGAGAACTTTAAACATGTGCCAGGTCCCAGCGCTCCACTCCTGACCCTCTCAATAGGACTGGGATGGGGGTGGCCGGCCAGGGAATCTCTACTTTAATAAGCTCTTCAGAAGATTCAGACACTGGGCACTGGCCCTGGGAATTCCTAAGGCCCATCTCTGTGCCTCTGGGACGAAGCAGTGGGGCCGTTCCCCATGCCATTATAAAGGGATAGACAGGTTTCCTGAGTTCTCTTTCTTCTTACTGCCTCTCCCTGTCACCTCCAGGATCAACAGCAGAACATCTGAGCCCACAGGGCTGGAGAATCATTTATAACAAGGCCACGCTAGCTAGTGATCAAGGGATCATAACTCTGTAGACAATATAATCATCAAACAAAGCTGTGAGTCACAGCTGGGCTGGAACCTGGCAGCTGAACCCACTGGTAAACAATGGCGCTAAAGGCCCCACCCTGACCCAGGATTGTTTTAACTCTTTCCCTGCAGTTCCAGTGGTAAGATTCTGAATTTAGAAACACGCTAGGGAAGGAAGATCTAGAAGCAGAACTGGAGACCTGGCACATCAGGTGGATGTTTTGTGGGTGTGCCCACAGCGGGGCCTGGGGCCTGGGCCCTACACGAAAGGGAGCAGATGGGCCAGCCCTCTGGGTTCAGTGACTTGGCTGTGTGGGTTTCGTTTCCTCTCACTGACTACTCTTGGTGGTGCTTGAAGAACTAGCATGACAGAGGCCCCGTGGAGCCCCAGAGGAGACTAATAAGGGGTTATGAAGATGGGGTGTGGCCCCTCACTCTACCTCCCTGAACAGGAGGCCATGAGCTCTCTGCCGCACTCTGTCAGTGCTCCACATTCATTACCTCATATTACAACTACCCCTTGAGAGAAGTATCATTACACCCACTTTACAGAAAAGGAAACTGAAACTCAGAGAGGCTAAGTAAATTATTCAAGGTCATACAGTCAAGGAAAAAGCTGGAAATCAGACTCAGATGGTCACACACACCCTTAACAACACCGCCACACTGCCTCCACCCAGGCTGCTCTAAGCAACAGGGAGAGCCACCGAGAAGCAGAAGTGGCTAGACGGCCACCGGCCTGTTGGGTTGTGTGTCTCTAATGCCGAAACCCTCCTGCCCCCTAGCTGCAGTGATGAGAAGTTTTCAAACAGACTCTACAATCCCTAAGCACCTCCCCTGAACCTCACACACACCAAGACCTGGTCAAAACGAGCAAGAGTCCAAAGACAGTTCCTCCTGTCCAAGGCTGCACCAGACGCTCCCAGGACACCATCGCTGCCCCTCTGTGCACACCACTAATGAGGTGTCTTCCCAACAGTTTGGAGGCCTGGGTACCTCGTAGGAAAGGGTACCTCCCCAGTGGGGCTCTGGGCAGCTGTTGGGAGCACACACCTGTTTGCAGAACCGCAGGAATCCGATGGAATATGTCTTTCCCCAGAGGCAGCATGTGCCATACACACAGCTGGACCTGGAAGAGACACGCACAGGAGGAGTGAGTGGTGAGTAGAGCCAGGACTTGAGGGAGGTGAGGTTGGGGAAGGCGACTCTTCTGCAAAACCACACAAGCTGGGGCACAGGCCAAGCACAGGGAGAGGCACGGCAGTGTGACTGCACATGCAGCAGGTTGAAGGACACAGGGCTGCTCTGAGCTGGGGTGACAAACTGAGAGCACTGAAAGTAAAAACTGCAGGAGGGAGAAACAAACAGGAAAGGACGGAGGCCCAGACAGGAAGAGAGAGAATGAGCCAGAGAGGCCCTCCCAAAGGTCCAAACGGATGGTCTCGCTCAGGAAGTATGGGAGAGGCACAGCAGGTCAAGGTCAAAGACAGAGATGGTCTGTGCATCTAGCTGACGCCAGGAAATGGGTCGTCTGGGGGCTCCAGGAAGATTTTTTTTTTTTGAGCTAGAGTCTCACTCCTTCACCCAGACTGGAATGCAGTAGCATGCATGCTCACGGCCACCCCAGTGCCAACCCTCTGGGCTCCAGTGAGACTTCCACCTCAGCCTTTCAACTAGCCGGAACTACAGACACGCGCTCCATGCCCGGCTATTTTTTATTTTATTGTAGAGACGAGGTCTCGCCAAGTTGTCCGGGCTGGTCTCGAATCTGCCTCCCAAAGTGCTGGAATTATAACTGAGCCACTGAGCCCGGCCTCCAGGAAGACTTTATACTCACTCGATGGGCTTTCCTCTGATCTCCGACATGATGGAACTTTCTCCCCCGAGGTACTCATAGCACAGGCTCAGGAAGTTATAGATGACCAAAGCTGTGAAAAGAGCACCCAGAGAAAACCACTCAAATCAGCAGGGGGGTCCATGGATGGAGGATACCAAACAGCAGTGGGGGTGAAAGACAATAACTGCACGTAGCGACATGGAGGAGCCTTGGGGACATGAGGTGGTGTGGAACTAGCCCATCCCAGACCACACACAACAACCTCTATGTGTAGGTTCCAAGTCAGCACAGCTGAACAATCTTGTTTAGGGATGCACACCCACACTGATGGTGACACCATAAAGGAAAGCCAGGAAGGGACTGTCACAGGTCAGGGTTGTGTGAGGAGGCTGGAGGGGCCTGAGATCAGGGTGAGCCTTCAGGGGCCTTGGGAGGACGCCAGTGTGTGTGTCCTAGAGTGAAAAGGTATTGGTCTTATAATTACTAGTTTTATGCAGTTGTCTGTGTGTTGTAGATCACAGTTTTATCAGCCAACGATAAAACATTATCCAGGAGGATCTCAGGAGAAATTCCAAGAATGAGAGCATGGAACCTTCATTCATTCGACACCCGTAGGGGTATCTGGTACACGCACAGCACCATAAGCTAAAACAAAACACACGAGAGGCACACAGAAAACAGTGCAAATGTCTCGGGAAGCTCGGTCAGCTCATTCTAAATTGGGACGCAGCTCAACATTACCACAAAGACCAAAAATTTGCAACAGTGAGCGATGGCATAGTAAAAGTCTGCTGTAAATGTTGATGCTATAAATACAGCAATACGCTGTAATGAGTCTCCTGGTCAGAGGATTTCTGCTGGGTCAGCAAAATGAAGGCTGCTGCCTGCAGACGGCTGGAAGGTAGGGATGTGCCAGATGGAGGAAGGAGGGAAGAAGGGTAGAGGGAGGAGGGGGAGGAGGAAGAGTAGGAGGAGGAAGGCGCAGCAGAGGGTCCCAAGAAGGAAAGCACACAGGAGGAAGACGGGGTGAGGAGATGTGCCCGAGGCTAGGGGAAGAGTGGAGACAGGGTCAAGAGAAGAGAGGGTGTAGGGAGCCACTATGGCCCTGCAGCCAGAGGGTTTCCTCTCAGCGGATCCCAGCAGACCCTACAGCATAGTCCTTCAATAGGTAACTCAGTCCCTGCCCATGCTCATGTCACTTTCAGAAGCACTAATGCTGCTCTTGCCTCTAGTAGGTTCTTTGCCCTTCTGTGCTTCTGCATGCTGGGACCCCACTGCCCGGAGTGCCCCTCCCTTTGCACTCCCAAGATCCTTCAAACCCAGCTGGGATGGCTCCCATTCTGAGAAGTCTCCATGACCATTGGGGAGGTGAGTGCCTTCTTGCCCATAGAACCTGCTTTGCAGACACTGTCCAGTACCTCCCATCCTGTGTCATTATGACTGGCCTCACAGGACCGAGATCCCCAGAAAGGGAGCCTTCTCCTTTCTCAGAATGAAGGTGCACTGTGTGGCATACCACAGGCATTCAGCTGCCCAAACTGGAGCAGAGAAAGCCCAGCGAGATGCTTTTAGGCAAAGCTGGCCTTCAGGAATTTGGAAAGGAAACTACTTCGGGTGCTTGATATCACTCATGGTTGCTGTAATGTATTAAGGGTCCCATCTCTGGGAGCACACTGCACACACATGACCCACAGCACTGGCCATGCTTTGCTGTGACTGTCCCTTCACACACACGTAGCAAAGGGTTTCCAACGTGGCTCTGCCAACTGGCTAACTGTGTGAGCCTCTCTGGGCTTCAGTTTCCTCATCTATTAATGGGGACCACAGGAGCACCCACCTTGACAGGTAGTTGTGCGGTCAGAGCATGCAATGTGCTCAGAAGGGTGACTGGCACTTAGTAGTGCTGAGTGCTCGCTGTCACAGCCATTACTGTTTACCTGCCTGCCTGCAGGCCCAGACACCCCATGACAGGCCTGAAGGCGTGTGTGCTGCCGGCATGGGGTGGAGGGAGTTCAGGATGTCTGGTGACAGCAGGAATCTCCACTAATTTCCAGATCACTCTTCACTGACAAGAACTTGGGACCAGAGGAAAGGGGGTGGCATCAAGCCAAATTTGATGGTGGCTTTCTAATAACCTTTGTCCAAAACCACACAAGGCCAAGTGGAACGGATGTGTCCATTCTAAGCCAAGTTCAGCTATACTGCGACAGATGGTATTTTCCAAAGATGGCCACACCCTCCAATGTTGACAACCCTCCACTGAGCAGTGGGGTCTCATTCCTTCCCTTTCATCGGAGTGACTATAGCAGAAGTGATATTTTGTGACCTCTGACACTGGGGTTAGGAAAGCCCTCTGTCTCTGGTTCCTTCTGCCCTGAGATGTCTGTCCATGGACCCAGCCTCCATGCTGCAAGGAAGCCCATGCAAGCCCATGTGGAGACGACGTGAGGAGGCTCATGTGGAGGGAAGACCTGAGGCCCTCAGCAGACATGTGAGTGAGTAAGCCTTCAGATTCCCGCCCCAGCCTTTGAGTTCTCCTGCTGAGGCCCAGACATCACAGAGCCAGGACAACTATACTCCCCACACCCCCGTGCCCTGTCCAAATTCCTGACCTATAGCATCTGTGAACAAAATTAATGGCTGTTTTACACTAGTATATTTCAGTAGCATGAGTAATTATTTACATGGCCATAGTAAATGGAATACATATAAAACCAATACCGAAGTTCCCAGGACGTGTCATGATCTCTCACACCTCCATGCCAGGGCACATTCTGGTCCCTCTGCTAGCTCTCAGAGGCATACCCAGCTGAGATGCCACCTCCTCCGACTTGTCACCACGCTCACTCCATACTCTACCCATCTCTGTGATCTGCCTGACCCTTCCAGCCCAAGAGCAGTGTCAAGTAGAGCAAAGAGCCATGGGCCCTGCAGCCAGACTACCTGATGTGGACTATAGTTCCACCACTTAGGTGCTGTGAGGCCTCAGGCAAGTTTCTTAGGCTCTCCATGTCTCAGTTTCCTCATCTGTAAGTTGGGGCTAACTCCTTCCAGGGGGGGCACGGGGGGGGCAGTTGTGTGTGTATGGGGGTGAATGTGTAGTGCCCTGGAAGGGGCTGAGCTCACAGGGAGCAGTCCATAGTGCATAGTGTGCTGCACACTGTTTTTTCTAGACCATAAACTCCTTGTAGGTAGGAATGGAATCCTACCCCCAATGACTCCCAGAGGGCCTGGCACCTATACACATTCAATCAACCTTGAAGGAACAAACGGACAGATGGACAGATGTGGGTCATCACTGCAGGGGAGGCTGCCATGATGGAAGGCTCGCGGCAGGGCAGGCGGGCAGCCTCCTCAGTCCCACCCCTGGAGTGGCTACTCTCAGCGGTCAGGAAGCTGACAGTCCCAGTCTTCCAGTCAGCAAAAACAAAACCCTCCAGAGAAGCCACAGGGGCCTGAGGGCTGTCAGTCCCGTCAATCTGGAATCCTCCTCCCATGCCAGCTCATCCTTGCAATCTGCTCCCAAGAAGGGCTTGGCGCCTGGGCTCACGTACATCTTTTCCTGTGTGGAAATACACGTCAGCAGCCAGCTCGCTCCTGAATTACATGGTCGAGGGCCATCCATATCCAGCTCTGGCTCTGCACTCGACTGGTCAGAATCATCACATTTCATTGTCTCTCTCAGTTCAAGATTCTGGACCTTTTACAGGTGCTCTGGGGCCAGCCAGTCTGTAGAATACCAATTTGCTGACGGTTTCCTTTAAAGAATCATTAGTGAGTCAGTAATGGACTCACTAACTCCCGAAGAAAGAAGATGAGACAGAATTTCCCCAGACATGATGCAACCAGTCCAAACCAGGATCCATTCAGCACCTGGACACATCAATCCCCCTCCTACGATATTAGAGCCATGTAAAACATTGCCACCAGCATCCCAACAAAGGTGTTTAAAATGGAAAACTCAACACTACCTGGAAACAAACACAAAGACTGCATCGTGGACATAAGAAGAACGGAGAAGCTAAGGCGGCCAGAAAGGGTGTACAGTCAGCAGGTGCATCACCCAACACCCTTCCCACAGTGGTTTTAGTTCTGATCCTTCAGAGAGGCCCCAGAGACACAAATGACTCTATGCCTCCCTAAGTATCCACCTCCCTAAGTATCCAGAGCTGGTGTGCCAGGCTCTGTGCTAGACCCTGGGGACACTAAGTGACCAGGGGGCCTGTGGGTCAGGCCTGTCAGTCCAAAGGGTAGCAAACAGCATGAGGGGTGGGATGGTCTCCCTCTCTCTTGCCTTGGACAATCAGGTACCTGGAACTTTCTGCTCCATTCTAGATACCAAATCTTTTTTTTTTTTTTTTTG